CTTTGCCAGTCTTTTACACCTGAGCTAAAACGTCAAGATCTCGAAAAAGCTTTTATTCCATTATGATCTAAATGAGGAATGTTTTGGGAATCACTTCATTGTTTGAAAGCACTTAGGCAACAGCTCCAGTGGCGCAATCGGTCAGCGCGCGGTACTTATAAGACAGTACAATGCTTAGCAATGCCGAGGTTGTGAGTTCGAACCTCACCTGGAGCAATATTTTGAGATAAAAAAGACAAGTGGGTAGAAAATCACGATTGACTAGAGTTGTGTGTGGAGGGCAACCAACCTGCAGACGGTACCATCTTTGCAAGTCTTTTACACCTGAGCTAAAACGTCAAGATCTCGAAAAAGCTTTTAATCCAGTATGATCTAAATGAGGAATGTTTTGGGAATCACTTCATTGTTTGAAGGTATTAAGGCAACCGCTCCAGTGGCGTAATTGGTCAGCGCGCGGTACTTATAAGACAGTACAATGCTTAGCAATGCCGAGGTTGTGAGTCCGAGCCTCACCTGGAGCAATATTTTAAGATAAAAAAGACAAGTGGGTAGAAAATCACGATTGACTAGAGTTGTGTGTGGAGGGCAACCAACCTGCAGACGGTACCATCTTTGCAAGTCTTTTACACCTGAGCTAAAACGTCAATATCTCGAAAAAGCTTTTAATCCAGTATGATCTAAATGAGGAATGTTTTGGGAATCACTTCATTGTTTGAAGGTATCAAGGCAACCGCTCCAGTGGCGTAATTGGTCAGCGCGCGGTACTTATAAGACAGTACAATGCTTAGCAATGCCGAGGTTGTGAGTTCGAGCCTCACCTGGAGCAAGGTTTTAAGATAAAAAAGACAAGTGGGTAGAAAATCACGATTGACTAGGGCTGTATGTGGAGGGCAACCAACCTGCAGATGGTACCACCTTTGCAAATCTCTTCCAACTGAACTAAAACATCAAGGTCTCTGAAAGCTTTTCACCCAGTATGAGCTGAATCAGGAATGTTTTAGGAATCACTTCATTGTTTGAAGGAATTAAGTCAACAACTCCAGTGGTGCAATTGGTTAACACGTGGTACTTATAAGACAGTACAATGCTTAGCAATGCCGTGGTTGTGAGTTCGAGCCTCACCTGGAGCAAGGTTTTAAGATAAAAAAAGACAAGTGGGTAGAAAATCATGATTGACTAGGGCTGTATGTGGAGGGCAACCAACCTGCAGATGGTACCATCTGTGCGAGTCTTGTACACCTGAGCTAAAATGTCGAGATCTCTAAAAAGCTTTTAATGCAGTATGATCTAAATGGGGAATGTTTTAGGAATCACTTCATTGTTTGAAAGTACATTCTTACAGCTCCAGTGGCGCAATCGGTCAGCGCGCGGTACTTATAAGACAGTACAATGCTTAGCAATGCCGAGGTTGTGAGTTCGAGCCTCACCTGGAGCAAGACTTTAAGATAAAAAAGACAAGTGGGTAGAAAATCACGATTGACTAGAGTTGTGTGTGGAGGGCAACCAACCTGCAGACGGTACCATCTTTGCAAGTCTTTTACACCTGAGCTAAAACGTCAAGACCTCGAAAAAGCTTTTAATCCAGTATGATCTAAATGAGGAATGTTTTGGGAATCACTTCATTGTTTGAAGGCATTAAGGCAACAACTCCGGTGGCGCAATCGGTCAGCGCACGGTATTTATAAGACAGTACAATGCTTAGCAATGCCAAGGTTGTGAGATCGAGCCTCACCTGGAGCAAGGTTTTAAGATAAAAAAAGACAAGTGGGTAAAAAATCACGATTGACTAGAGTTGTGTGTGGAGGGCAACCAACCTGCAGACGGTACCATCTTTGCAAGTCTTTTACACCTGAGCTAAAACATCAAGGTCTCTGAAAGCTTTTAATCCAGTATGATCTAAATGAGGAATGTTTTGGGAATCACTTCATTGTTTGAAGGTATCAAGGCAACAGCACCAGTGGCGCAATAGGTCATCGCGCGGTACTTATAAGACAGTACAATGCTTAGCAATGCCGAGGTTGTGAGTTCGAGCCTCACTTGGAGCAAGATTTTGAGATAAAGAAGACAAGTGGGCAGAAAATCACGATTGACTAGAGTTGTATGTTGAGGGCAAACAACCTGCAGATGGTACCATCTATGCAAGTCCTTTACACCTGAGCTAAAACATCAAGATCTCGAAAAAGCTTTTATTCCATTATGATCTAAATGAGGAATGTTTTGGGAATCACTTCATTGTTTGAAAGCACTTAGGCAACAGCTCCAGTGGCGCAATCGGTCAGCGCGCGGTACTTATAAGACAGTACAATGCTTAGCAATGCCGAGGTTGTGAGTTCGAACCTCACCTGGAGCAATATTTTGAGATAAAAAAGACAAGTGGGTAGAAAATCACGATTGACTAGAGTTGTGTGTGGAGGGCAACCAACCTGCAGACGGTACCATCTTTGCAAGTCTTTTACACCTGAGCTAAAACGTCAAGATCTCGAAAAAGCTTTTAATCCAGTATGATCTAAATGAGGAATGTTTTGGGAATCACTTCATTGTTTGAAGGTATTAAGGCAACCGCTCCAGTGGCGTAATTGGTCAGCGCGCGGTACTTATAAGACAGTACAATGCTTAGCAATGCCGAGGTTGTGAGTCCGAGCCTCACCTGGAGCAATATTTTAAGATAAAAAAGACAAGTGGGTAGAAAATCACGATTGACTAGAGTTGTGTGTGGAGGGCAACCAACCTGCAGACGGTACCATCTTTGCAAGTCTTTTACACCTGAGCTAAAACGTCAATATCTCGAAAAAGCTTTTAATCCAGTATGATCTAAATGAGGAATGTTTTGGGAATCACTTCATTGTTTGAAGGTATCAAGGCAACCGCTCCAGTGGCGTAATTGGTCAGCGCGCGGTACTTATAAGACAGTACAATGCTTAGCAATGCCGAGGTTGTGAGTTCGAGCCTCACCTGGAGCAAGGTTTTAAGATAAAAAAGACAAGTGGGTAGAAAATCACGATTGACTAGGGCTGTATGTGGAGGGCAACCAACCTGCAGATGGTACCACCTTTGCAAATCTCTTCCAACTGAACTAAAACATCAAGGTCTCTGAAAGCTTTTCACCCAGTATGAACTGAATCAGGAATGTTTTAGGAATCACTTCATTGTTTGAAGGAATTAAGTCAACAACTCCAGTGGTGCAATTGGTTAACACGTGGTACTTATAAGACAGTACAATGCTTAGCAGTGCCGTGGTTGTGAGTTCGAGCCTCACCTGGAGCAAGGTTTTAAGATAAAAAAAGACAAGTGGGTAGAAAATCATGATTGACTAGGGCTGTATGTGGAGGGCAACCAACCTGCAGATGGTACCATCTGTGCGAGTCTTGTACACCTGAGTTAAAATGTCAAGATCTCTAAAAAGCTTTTAATGCAGTATGATCTAAATGGGGAATGTTTTAGGAATCACTTCATTGTTTGAAAGTACATTGGTAACAGCTCCAGTGGCGCAATCGGTCAGCGCGCGGTACTTATAAGACAGTACAATGCTTAGCAATGCCGAGGTTGTGAGTTCGAGCCTCACCTGGAGCAAGACTTTAAGATAAAAAAGACAAGTGGGTAGAAAATCACGATTGATTAGGGTTGTATGTGGAGGGCAACCAACCTGCAGATGGTACCATCTTTGCAAGTCTTTTACACCTGAGCTAAAACGTCAAGACCTCGAAAAAGCTTTTAATCCAGTATGATCTAAATGAGGAATGTTTTGGGAATCACTTCATTGTTTGAAAGTGTCAATGTAACAGCTCCAGTGGCGCAATCGGTCAGCGCGCGGTACTTATAAGACAGTACAATGCTTAGCAATGCCGAGGTTGTGAGTTTGAGCCTCACCTGGAGCAAGGTTTTAAGATAAAAAAGACAAGTGGGTAGAAAATCACGATTGATTAGGGTTGTATGTGGAGGGCAACCAACCTGCAGATGGTACCACCTTTGCAAATGTCTTCCACCTGAACTAAAACATCAAGGTCTCTGAAAGCTTTTCACCCAATATGAGCTGAATCAGGAATGTTTTAGGAATCACTTCTTTGTTTGAAAGCATTAAAACAACAGCTCCAGTGGCGCAATAGGTCATCGCGTGGTACTTATAAGACAGTACAATGCTTAGCAATGCCGAGGTTATGAGTTCGAGCCTCACCTGGAGCAAGGTTTTAAGATAAAAAAGACAAGTGGGTAGAAAATCACAATTGACTAGAGTTGTGTGTGGAGGGCAACCAACCTGCAGGCGGTACCATCTTTGCAAGTCTTTTACATCTGAGCTAAAACATCAAGATCTCGAAAAAGCTTTTAATCCAGTATGATCTAAATGAGGAATGTTTTGGGAATCACTTCATTGTTTGAAAGTATCAAGGCAACAGCTCCAACGGCGCAATCTGTCAGCTCGCGGTACTTATAAGACAGTACAATGTATAGCAATGCCAAGGTTGTGAGTTGGAGCCTCACTTGGAGCACGATTTTGAGATAAATAAGACAAGTGGGAAGAAAATCACGATTGACTATAGTTGTATGTGGAGGGCAACCAACCTGCAGATGGTACCATCTGTGCAAGTCTTGTACACCTGAGCTGAAATGTCAAGATCTCTAAAAAGCTTTTAATGCAGTATGATCTAAATGGGGAATGTTTTAGGAATCACTTCATTGTTTGAAAGCACATTGGTATCAGCTCAAGTGGCGCAAACGGTCAACCCGCTGTACTTATAAGACAGTACAATGCTTAGCAATGCCGAGGTTGTGAGTTCGAGCCTCACCTGGAGGAAGACTTTAAGATAAAAAAGACAAGTGGTTAGAAAATCACGATTGACTAGAGTTGTGTGTGGAGGGCAACCAACCTGCAGACGGTACCATCTTTGCAAGTGTTTTACACCTGAGCTAAAATGTCAAGACCTCGAAAAAGCTTTTAATCCAGTATGATCTAAATGAGGAATGTTTTGGGAATCACTTCATTGTTTGAAGGCTTTAAAGCAACAGCTCCGGTGGCGCAATCGGTCAGCGCACGGTATTTATAAGACAGTACAATGCTTAGCAATGCCGAGGTTGTGAGTTCGAGCCTCACCTGGAGCAAGGTTTTAAGATAAAAAAGTCAAGTGGGTAGAAAATCACGATTGACTAGGGTTGTATGTGGAGGGTAACCAACCTGCAGATGGTACCACCTTTGCAAATGTCTTCCAACTGAACTAAAACATTGAGGTCTCTGAAAGCTTTTCACCCAGTATGAGCTGAATCAGGAATGTTTTAGGAATCACTTCATTGTTTGAAGGAATTAAGTCAACAACTCCTGTGGCGCAATTGGTTAACACGTGGTACTTATAAGACAGTACAATGCTTAGCAATGCTGAGGTTGTGATTTTGAGCCTCACTTGGAGCAAGATTTTGAGATAAATATGACAAGTGGGCAGAAAATCACGATTGACTAGAGTTGTATGTGGAGGGCAAACAACCTGCAGATGGTACCATCTATGCAAGTCCTTTACACCTGAGCTAAAACGTCAAGATCTCGAAAAAGCTTTTAATCCATTATGATCTAAATGGGGAATGTTTTAGGAATCACTTCATTGTTTGAAAGCACATTGGTAACAGCTCCAGTGGTGCAATCGGTCAGCCCGCGGTACTTATAAGACAGTACAATGCTTAGCAATGCCGAGGTTGTGAGTTCGAGCCTCACCTGGAGCAAGGTTTTAAGATAAAAAAGTCAAGTGGGTAGAAAATCACGATTGACTAGGGTTGTATGTGGAGGGCAACCAACCTGCAGATGGTACCACCTTTGCAAATGTCTTCCACCTGAACTAAAACATCAAGGTCTCTGAAAGCTTTTCACCCAGTATGAGCTGAATCAGGAATGTTTTAGGAATCACTTCATTGTTTGAAAGCATTAAAACAACAGCTCCAGTGGCGCAAAAGGTCATCGCGTGGTACTTATAAAACAGTACGATGCTTAGCAATGCCGAGGTTTTGAGTTCGAGCCTCACTTGGAGCAAGATTTTGAGATAAAGAAGACAAGTGGGCAGAAAATCACGATTGACTAGAGTTGTATGTGGAGGGCAAACAACCTGCAGATGGTACCATCTATGCAAGTCCTTTACACCTGAGCTAAAACATCAATATCTCGAAAAAGCTTTTGATCCATTAAGATCTAAATGAGGAATGTTTTGGGAATCACTTCATTGTTTGAAAGCTCTTAGGCAACAGCTCCAGTGGCGCAATCGGTCAGCGCGCGGTACTTATAAGACAGTACAATGCTTAGCAATGCCGAGGTTGTGAGTTCAAGCCTCACCTGGAGCAATATGTTAAGATAAAAAAGACAAGTGGGTAGAAAATCACGATTGACTAGAGTTGTGTGTGGAGTGCAACCAACCTGCAGACGGTACCATCTTTGCAAGTCTTTTACACCTGAACTAAAACGTCAAGATCTCGAAAAAGCTTTTAATCCATTATGATCTAAATGAGGAATGTTTTGGGAATCACTTCATTGTTTGAAGGTATTAAGATAACAGCTCCAGTGGCGCAATCGGTCAGCGCGCGGTACTTATAAGACAGTACATTGCTTAGCAATGCCGAGGTTGTGAGTTCGAGTCTCACCTGGAGCAAGGTTTTAAGATAAAAAAGACAAGTGGGTAGAAAATCACGATTGACTTGGGTTGTATGTGGAGGGCAACCAACCTGCAGATGGTACCACCTTTGCAAATCTCTTCCACCTGAACTAAAACATCAAGGTCTCTAAAGCTTTTAACCCAGTATGAGCTGAATCAGGAATTTTTTAGGAATCACTTCATTGTTTGAAGGCATTAAGACAACCGCTCCAGTGGCGCAATCGGTCGACACGTGGTACTTATAAGACAGTACAATGCTAAGCAATGCTGAGATTGTGATTTCGAGCCTCACTTGGAGAAAGATTTTGAGATAATTAAGACAAGTGAGCAGAAAATCACGATTGACTACAGTTGTATGTGGAGGGCAAACAACTTTCAGATGGTACCATCTATGCAAGTCCTTTACACCTGAGCTAAAACGTCAAGATCTCGAAAGAGCTTTTAATCCAGTATGATCTAAATGAGGAATGTTTTAGGAATCACTTCATTGTTTGAAAGCACATTGGTAACAGCTCCAGTGGCGCAATCGGTCAGCTCGCGGTACTTATAAGACAGTACAATGCTTAGCAATGCCGAGGATGTGAGTTCGAGCCTCACCTGGAACAAGACTTTAAGATAAAAAAGACAAGTGGGTAGAAAATCATGATTGACTGGAGTTGTGTGTGGAGGGCAACCAACCTGCAGACAGTACCATCTTTGCCAGTCTTTTACACCTGAGCTAAAACGTCAAGATCTCGAAAAAGCTTTTAATCCATTATGATCTAAATGAGGAATATTTTGGGAATCACTTCATTGTTTGAAGGTATTAAGGTAACAGCTCCAGTGGCGCAATTGGTCAGCGCACGGAACTTATAAGACAGTACAATGCTTAGCAATACTGAGGTTGTGAGTTCGAGCCTCACCTGGAGCAAGGTTTTAAGATAAAAAAGACAAGTGGGTAGAAAATCACGATTGACTAGAGTTGTATGTGGAGGGCAACCAACCTGCAGATGGTACCACCTTTGCAAATCTCTTTAACCTGAACTAAAACATCAAGGTCTCTGAAGCTTTTAACCCAGTATGATTTTAATGAGGAATCTTTTGGGAATCACTTCATTGTTTGAAAGGATTTAGGCAACAGCTCCAGTGGCGCAATTGGTCAGGTGGTACTTATAAGACAGTACGATGCTTAGCAATGCCGAGGTTGTGAGTTCGAGCCTCACTTGGAGCAAGATTTTGAGATAAAAAAGACAAGTGGGCAGAAAATCACGATTGACTATAGTTGTATGAGGACAACCAACCTGCAGATGGTACCATCTATGCTAGTGTTTTACACCTGAGCTAAAATGTCAAGATCTCTAAAACGCTTTTAATCTAGTATGATCTAAGTGAGGAGTGTTTTGGGAATCACTTCATTGTTTGAAATCATGTCAGCAACAGCTCCAGTGGCGCAATCGGTCAGCGCACGGTACTTATAAGACAGTACAATGCTTAGCAATGCCGAGGTTGTGAGTTCGAGCCTCACCTGGAGCAAGGTTTTAAAGGGCCATGAAACCCCCTCGTTTCAGCAGGGTGTTTTCACACCTCTACTTTGGAAAAAGTCAGAAAAGTGGGCGTTTCCAGCTCTGTTTAGGGGGGAGTGTCAGAGGAACTAAAGTGGGATGGTGTGGGAGTGTCTATTTGGGCACGCGCAAGTTTCAGTCAAAATACACACAGGAGAAAGTGATGGTGTTTAACCTACATGAACATCTGTAGTTGAATTATTTGCCAAATTATTAAATGTTGGACTTTAACTGCAGTTTGGCTCTTTCATTCAGGGAATTCATTCATGTCCCTCGCGACAAACGCAATATTTGATTTGAGGATCTGCTCTAAGCGTGTATTTTTTATTCAATGTTTGATACCGCACGGCGAATGAGAGAAAAAAAAACTCCAGATTTCCCGGAAACTTAGATGCACACGGCAGGTAGCGTCAGAAAGCCGTGTGTGTTATTCCGGTCACAAAATGCGGTGCTAACATGTTTGCACTCAGTGCAATAGTTAACTTAATTCGATACGAACAAACTGAATAAACAAAGAGCGCTGGTCGCTCACTTACCAAATCTGTAGAGACAGGACAATCCCCAGCAACCAGAGCCGCGTCTTTATGAAGAGAATACTACAAGCGAATCCGGATTTCAGCGTTTGCAGATGAGAACAGCTCTCAGGTAAACAATGTTCCTCCTTAGACACGTAAGTTATTGTTGTCGAGCATCGCGTACACTGTTAATCCACACGTGATCCAGATGAGCTCTCACAGAGAGAAAATGAAAACGAAACTTAATGGCAGCAAACTATAAAAGCAACACTTCACGCTTGTTTTGCCAACACAACGTGGCGTCTCTGTGGTGTAAACACGGTGACACTAATGAATATTATTGAAGTTGCACAATAGAGCGCGCTGATTGGTTTGAACCAAGCCTTACTCATGCATTAATGCAACACACTGTAAGACGTAATAAGACACACTCTGGCACAGACGCCCAGTCTGCACGCTGGAATACACGCTATTATGTCATGGCCTTGACACAGCTTCAAAAATTCGTTTCAAACAGGAAGTACGAATTTGCTTGAAATAACGCAAAAACAACCAATTTACACTTTTTTGTGAAATATAGGTGTCCTAATAGTATTTTTAGCAGTGTGGGACACATATAGGACTGTCAACAGCTCAAAAAATGTGTTTTGGTGTTTCGTGACCCTTTAAGATAAAAAAGACAAGTGGATAGAAAATCACGATTGACTAAAGTTGTATGTGGAGGGCAACCAACCTGCAGACGGTACCATCTTTGCAAATCTCTTTCACCTGAACTAAAACATCAAGGTCTCTAAAAAGCTTTTATCCAGTATGATCTGAATCAGGAATGTTTTAGGAATCACTTCATTGTTTGAAAGCACTTAGGCAACAGCTCCAGTGGTGCAATTGGTCAGCGCGCGGTACTTATAAGACAGTACGATGCTTAACAATGCTGATCTTGTGAGTTCAAGCCTCACTTGGATCAAGATTTTGAGATAAAGAAGACAAGTGGGCAGAAAATCATGATTGACTAAAGTTGTATGAGGAGGGCAACTAACCTGCAGATGGTACCATCTATGCAAGTCTTTTACACCTGAGCTAAAACGTCAAGATCTCGAAAAAGCTTTTAATCCATTATGATCTAAATGAGGAGCGTTTTGGGAATCACTTCATTGTTTGAAAGCACATCGGCAACAGCTCCAGTGGCGCAATCGGGCAGCGCGTGGTACTTATAAGACAGTACAATGCTTAGCAATGCCGAGGTTGTGAGTTTGAGCCTCACCTGGAGCAAGGTTTTAAAATAAAAAAGACAAGTGGGTAGAGAATCACGATTGACTACAGTTGTATGTGGAGGGCAACCAACCTGCAGACGGTACCATCTTTGCAAATCTCTTTCACCTGAACTAAAACATCAAGGTCTCTAAAAAGCTTTTAATCCATTATGATCTGAATCAGGAATGTTTTAGGAATCACTTCATTGTTTGAAAGCATTAAGACTACAGCTCCGGTGGCGCAATCGGTCGGCATGCGGTACTTATAAGGCAGTACAATGCTTAGCAATGCCGAGGTTGTGTGTTCGTGCCTCACTTGGAGCAAGATTTTGATATAAATAAAACAAGTGGGCAGAAAATCACGATTGACCAGATTGTGTTGTGGAGGGCAACCAACCTGCAGGTTCTATCATCTATGATAATCCTTAACACCTGAACTAAAACATCAAGGTCTCTGAAAGCTTTTAATCCATTATGATCTGAATCAGGAATGTTTTAGAAATCACTGCATTGTTTGAAATCACTTCATGCAATAGCTCCAGTGGCACAATCGGTTAGCGTGGGGTACTTTTAAGACTATACAATGCTTAGCAATGCCGAGGTTGTGACTTTGAGCCTCACCTGGAGCATGGTCTTTAGAAAAAGAAGAAAAGTGGGGGAAAGCTAGTGCTGTCCAGAGTAGATTGTGGAGGGCAACAAACTTGCTTATTGTATCTTCGATACTAATCTTTCTATGCTAACCAAGCTGTAGATTGTATCATCATTGCTGTTTTTAGGAATCACAGTATTGTTTGAAATCACATAATGCAACAGCTCCAGTGGCGCAATCGGTCAGCGAGCGGTACTTATAAGACAGTACAATGCTTAGCAATGCCGAGGTTGTGAGTTCGAGCCTCACTTGGAGCACGATTTTGAGATAAACAAGACAAGAGGGCAGAAAATCACGGTTGACTTGAGTTGTATGTGGAGGGCAACTAACCTGCAGATGGTACCATCTGTGCAAGTCTTTTATACCTGAGCTAAAACGTCAAGATCTCTTAAAAGCTTTTAATCCATTATGATCTAAATGAGGAGTGTTTTGGGAATCACTTCATTGTTTGAAAGCACTTAGGCAACAGCTCCAGTGGCGCAATTGGTCAGCGCGCGGTACTTATAAGACAGTACGATGCTTAACAATGCTGATCTTGAGAGTTCAAGCCTCACTTGGATCAAGATTTTGAGATAAAGAAGACAAGTGGGCAGAAAATCATGATTGACTAAAATTGTATGAGGAGGGCAACTAACCTGCAGATGGTACCATCTATGCAAGTCTTTTACACCTGAGCTAAAACGTCAAGATCTCGAAAAAGCTTTTAATCCATTATGATCTAAATGAGGAGTGTTTTGGGAATCACTTCATTGTTTGAAAGCACATCGGCAACAGCTCCAGTGGCGCAATCGGTCAGCGTGTGGTACTTATATGACAGTACAATGCTTAGCAATGCCGAGGTTGTGAGTTCGAGCCTCACCTGGAGCAAGGTTTTAAAATAAAAAAGACAAGTGGGTAGAGAATCACGATTGACTACAGTTGTATGTGGAGGGCAACCAACCTGCAGACGGTACCATCTTTGCAAACCTCTTTCACCTGAGCTAAAACATCAAGGTCTCTAAAAAGCTTTTAATCCATTATGATCTGAATCAGGAATGTTTTAGGAATCACTTCATTGTTTGAAAGCATTAAGACTACAGCTCCGGTGGCGCAATCGGTTGGCATGCGGTACTTATAAGACAGTACAATGCTTAGCAATGCCGAGGTTTTGTGTTCGTGCCTCACTTGGAGCAAGATTTTGAGATAAATAAAACAAGTGGGCAGAAAATCACGATTGACCAGATTGTGTTGTGGAGGGCAACCAACCTGCAGGTTCTATCATCTATGATAATCCTTAACACCTGAACTAAAACATCAAGGTCTCTGAAAGCTTTTAATCCTCTATGATCTGAATCAGGAATGTTTTAGAAATCACTGCATTGTTTGAAATCACTTCATGCAATAGCTCCAGTGGCACAATCGGTTAGCGTGGGGTACTTTTAAGACAATACAATGCTTAGCAATGCCGAGGTTGTGACTTTGAGCCTCACCTGGAGCATGGTCTTTAGAAAAAGAAGAAAAGTGGGGGAAAGCTAGTGCTGTCCAGAGTAGATTGTGGAGGGCAACAAACTTGCTTATTGTATCTTCGATACTAATCTTTCTATGCTAACCAAGCTGTATATTGTATCATCATTGCTGTTTTTAGGAATCACTGCATTGTTTGAAATCACATAATGCAACAGCTCCAGTGGCGCAATCGGTCAGCGCGCGGTACTTATAAGACAGTACAATGCTTAGCAATGCCGAGGTTGTGAGTTCGAGCCTCACTTGGAGCACGATTTTGAGATTAAGAAGACAAGAGGGCAGAAAATCACGGTTGACTTGAGTTGTATGTGGAGGGCAACTAACCTGCAGATGGTACCATCTGTGCAAGTCTTTTACACCTGAGCTAAAACGTCAAGATCTCTTAAAAGCTTTTAATCCAGTATGATCTTAATGAGGAATGTTTTAGGAATCACTTCAAGTATGTTCCGTAT